TGAGAGAAATTCCAATGGTAATTTCAACCACAAGGCAATTGTCAGAAAAATAATAGCTACGGTAACAATAAACATTGTAGATTCAACTATTACCTTAAAGTGAAAATGACATCATAATGTTGATGACATTATTTGACTGCAAATATAATTTCTTTGACAATTCCCTTGTAGTTAAAATCACCATTGAAATTTCTCTCGCGTATCTTTCCCGAATTCCGGAGCGAAATGCGATTGTAGGAAATTTTACGAATTGTCACTGAATTTGTCCCGAGCGTTCCGTAATTTTTATCTGAATCTCCTGTGAGAAATTACGATACCGTCCCTCAAATTTTCTGAGTCGATTCCGTAGTCGCTCAGCGAATCGTGAGTTCCGTAATTTTTCCTGAATATTTTCCTCCGCGTGAGAAGACCCTCTCCTGACTCTCTCACTCTCCTTTCACTCATTTTTCCGAGGGGACGAGTGCTCGTCAGGTTTCGGTGATAAATCGTTTTTCCAGTTTGATACCCCACAGATGATAACGAACGTCTGTTTGTTCGGTGCATGAAATAATATTATTCCTTCTCTATCATTCTCACGTATCATCTGGCATGATTGGCAAGCGTTCCGACTTAACCCGTGTTTATGAGTTATCTATTATTTCGGCGCGGTCGGCCGATTTATCTTCCTCGGGTTTCCCTCCCCCCGAGGGTGATTAATTGATACTTCCTCCAGTGGCTCCTCTAAATCGTAGATGTAGTAGCTATTGATGGCGCAACACCTGGTGAGCAGAAGTGCTCGTCATCTCCAGACACCTCCGTGATTGGCTGGCGCGGGGTCATGTTCAATCCATTAAGAAAATTAAACCGAAAGGCCGAGAGAAAAGGGAACTGCGGGAGCAACGCAGACGGCAAAAAGAACACTTTCATTTGGCCGAAAACCCCTAGGACATACCAAGTGCGTCTTCTTCTCGATTCATTGTTACACAGTACGAATCCCAGTGAAATGACGACGAGTGATAAGTAAGGAATGAGTTCGTGGGGCGAGGGGGCGATGTGGGAGGCTGAGTGCGCCAGCAGAAATTGCCGTCGCAGCGTTAGTCGGGAGAAAAATAGCGGAGGGAGAGAGAGGAATGGAGAAGACGTGAAGTAAAAAAGGGGTTGGAAGAGCGCGGGATTTAGGGGGGAAGAGGTGACCGGATGCCGAGACATTCGTGGGGAAAATTCAGGGGGGTTTCGCAAATTGGTGATGTGTTTGGGGTTATTTTGACATGAGTTTTTTAGAACTGAGAGGCTTCGTCGGCGGTTTTTCCTTCTGATTTCGGTTTGATGAGGTGAGATCAGTCAGAATAGGTTTCTACTAAAGTTTTTTTTTCTACTTTTCTTTAGGGTTAGAAAATTTTTTTGAAGTCTCGTATTGTGGGGAAGAATATTTCTAATTGTTCGGGTGAGATTTCCGGTAAGAAATGATGCTGAATGTTATTTTTGAGATTTTTGAATATTTCTTTAAGCAAATAACATAATTAATCGAACGGTAATTCTTGTTTGCTTCACAATAAATTTATGAATTCTTAAATTATCGAAGAACTCCATTGTCACTGATTTAGAATTCCCTAAATAAATTTGTGGAATCCTGAAATATTCTCCCTTCAGATTTCAATTTGGTCAAGTGTCATAATTAAAAATAGGTTTCCATTTAAATAATTCCTTTCTACTTGTCCCTAAGATTACAAAAATCTTTTGAAATTCCTCATATTATAAAAAAATTGTGGAATATTTCTAAATATTCCTAATCATTCGGTTGAGATTTCCCTAAAAAAAATCCTGTATCTCAATTCAAAAATTCTAGAGTATTTCTATAATCAAATAATGCAATCAATCCAATCCCAATTATGTTCTACTTCAGAATAAACTTGCGACATCCCCAAAAATTCTGATTTACGCAAAATTTCATCCTTTCTTTCCCCTTCTAGTAAAATAAGCCGAATAGCGAGCCATTAATGCTGAAAAATTAATGTCAAGTTCAATAACCCATTAAATTGTTGATAAGATTGTATTCGTTTCTATCCCAAAACGAATTTTGGAGAATTGATGAGATGGCTACGGTCTCCATGAATGTCAAATAGCATCAGCGATCGAATTGTCGTGAGGAGTGGAAGGGGGTTGATCTTGTCCTTTGTACAGAATTCACGTATAACCCATACCCATGAACGTCTCACTGGGAGGAAACTTTGCCTTGAGCATTCTACGGGGATGGGTTTGAGGATGCAATTCTTTTGAAATTGGTTTTTTCGGTGTGCCACGGAATTGGGAGATGTTTTTTTTCTCTTCACTGGCATTTGGGTGAATCGGTACGCGTCCGCGCCCGTACACCTCTCGAAGATAGGATCTCGTGATTGTTTGAGGATCAAACGATTTTTCGAGAGATTCGACTGAAGAGATTTCGAGCGGGGTAATATGAATTAATATCAGCAGTTTCTCAATGACTGATTTCGACTTGATTTTATCATTTGATAATTTGATTTCGTAATGTTTTCGATACTAGACTTGTGCGCGCGCTTATCTATTCGCTGTGAAAATGAAGAAATCGAAATATGAGGCAGAAATTTTTTTTGGCATTTGAAGAATTTGAAAATACCGGGGATTTTTTTCAGCGACTACTTCGATATAAAACAACTTCACGTTTCCTTCATCTTTAGTAAATAGGGCAATTCAAATAAAAATCAACCCATCTTATTCGGCTTCTGAGTTTGTCAATTTTATTTTCATGACCCATTGATTTCAAATCTACCACAGTGTGAGGCGCTGCAGAAAGAGGGATGAAAGGAAATCCGATGCAGTTGCATTCAAACTAAAACCTATCGAAATACCTCTTGACTTCTTGTTTTGCACTTCAAAGTGGTACTTGAATTTCACGGTTAAAGGTTACGATCAATAGCCCACTGGCTCATTTAGCCTTTCGCCTCTGATTGCAAATTGTTCACCTCGAAGTTTGCTCTCTTCCGGTTTAATTATAGCACCAGTGTGGTACCACAATTCCACTCACTTGGACGGCGTAATGCCGGCCGTCTGCCTCTCCGCCCATTTCAACAGAGAAAACCCCCCCATTCCTCCTTTGATATTACAACGATGCTCATCCCTCGTTAACTGGAGTGCATATTCGAAAGCTAAAGAGAGAATGTACAACATTCTCATATAATGTAACTGAAGGAACGAAGAGTCCAAAGAGGAAAACAGAATGATTAAAAGAAGGTTTTTGAGAAAATAATTATCTGATGAGTCCACCGGAGACTTCAATGTGGTTGATATCAATGATGCATTCATGATATTGAAGTCTACAACTTCAATATCATGAAAAGCATAGAGTACGTCACCATTCAGGAAAACTTCATGAAAGGTTCCTTCTTGTTATCTCATCAATCCCCAACGGCAGCGTAAAGAACAAAAATTAATCAATAGGACAAAATCATTCTCCTCCCTTCCGTCATCAAATCCAAAGAAGCATTAATGTATTATCATCACAATTCAATCATTTCCAAACGACTTAACTAAACGATATTCGAAAACGAAGAACAGAATGTTCAACATTGTCTATTAATACAACTAAAGAAGCGAAGAATCTAAAGAGGAAAGCAGAATGATCAGAAGCAGTTTCTTTAGAAAATAATTGTCTGATCATTCCACCAGAGACTTCAATGTTATTGACAACTTTAACATAATGAGAAGCATAAAGCACATCAACATCCACGCAAACTCCTCATGAAAGCTTCTTTCTTCTCATCTCATCAGTCCTCAACCACATCCTAAAGTACCAAAATCATTCAACAGAACAAAATCATTCTCCTCCCTTTCGTCATTAAATCCAAAGAAGCATAAGTGTATCATTTCCAAACGAGTTAACTAAACCATTAATTCAACATTCTCCGTTAATACAAGTAAAGAAGCGAAGAATCCAAAGAGGAAGGCCGAAAAGAAGTTTCTTTAGAAAATAATTGTCTGATGAGTTCACCAGAGACTTCAATGTTGTTGACGACATAGTCTACAACTTTAATATCATGAAAAGCATAAAGCACATCAACATCCACGCAAACTCCTCATGAAAGCTTCTTCTTTCTTCTCATCTCATCAGTCCTCAACCACATCCTAAAACCCAAAATTAATCAATATGCCAAAATCATTCTGCTCCCCTCCCCCATCAAATCCGAAGAAGCATTAATGGATTATCATCGCAATTCAGCCATTCCCATTGCATAGTACTCCACACTATGCAATGGTGGCATGCTGTCGATGGTAGATGTACCGAAGCCCGTAGACCAAAGAGGAAGCCTCACTGCGGATAAGCTCTGGACGTGTGCGTTAATTGATGTAATTATACTCTCCTTGCAACTCACCCCACCCATTCCTACTGTCCTCCGTATGTCTGTACATGTATGTGCAATCACCCACGGAATACACGTTTCTCTCATTGGTTATACACATACAAGCAATCCAGCAGTACAGAGAGGATATATCCGGCATACTGTGGTGCAACAGGACACGCATCTATTTATGTACCCATGGTCAACTGTAATAGCAACGTAATAGACATAGCTTCGTTAATTATTGTCCTGCTTATTAAGCCAAGCCAAACTTGCCATTCCATTAACGTGAGAACAAGAGAGAGAGAGAGAGAGAGAGAGGAGAGACGGTGGTGGAGGATATCGAGGCGTGAAACTATGAACCATCCAGCTGACCAAGGAAAATGGTACCAGCGTTCATATATCCTCCCTCATGTCACCCACTCCTATTCGCCGCGTTAATGTGCTCCATGGATAACGAGCAGACGCGAGACTGTTAAAGCTCTTCAGCCCGGGGGTGGGAGGGGAACATTTTCATTTTGTCCACTGGACAAGGACATTCTTCGTCCATAACGCGGGGCTATTGCTTTTGAAAAAGCACGGTAATAAAATTTAACGCCAGAGTTCAGGTGACTGGACCTGGTAATGACTCGAGTGGAATGAACAATTTGAATTAATTAAATTCAGGTAATACGGACGCCTCGGTGCTGAGTCCGCTGTTGCTGGGCTTGGCCGCAGTAGCGACACTACTTGCACTCGCGGTCGCTGGAATTCTCGCTGCTCTGTACAGGAAACACTTGGGTGGCAGAAGCGGAAGTCCCAAGCATGCACCAATCGTCTGCGAAGCTCCGAATACTGGGGCAACTACACCCGTACATCCGGCCAACAAGCAGGCGGTTGATGACATTGATCCGGATATTATACCGAATGAGTATGGTGAGTTTGTTGGTTTATGGATTTTTTGGTTGAATTTGTTTAAGTACACTGATGAAAAATTAATTTTGTCAAGAGAATTTTATTTGAACCGACTATCATTTGGTTGTTAATTTTCAAGTGAATGATTTCGTGGTGGATACCAGTTATCTCGTGTTGAGATACGTTTGATTGGGAGAAATCGAACTTCTCGAGAATTGGAGTTTCCTTTATTTGTCGGAATAATAAGAGTACTTGATTTCTTTCGGGTCAAAAGTTTGCCAACTCCAGAAATTCGTTGGTTTACTCAAAAATCAAAATTATTCTCATGACTTAATACGTTGTTATCTCAATTAACACGATCATACGTTGTTCCAAGTAAATTATAATTGATGAACATTTCACGATGAAGCGAGAACTTCTCGGCTCAAGACATCTTTGTTTTCGTGTCAGACGACCACAAAATGACTCGAAAGACTGAAAGCTTTTGTATTGGATGAATGCAGAAGTCATACAATCATCTTAAAGGAAAGAAATGACCCCATTTTCTTATTTTAAACTTTTCTTATCGCTTTAAGAATTCTCTTTCCTTGATAAGAAGAAGATTAATCCGTCACTCCTCCAATTTTTCTCACACCCATCGCGGATTTATCCAATGTCGCTGTTACTTTCTTAACTGGAGAAATTATTTATGGGATTCACCTCATCATCATTCACTCCCGAAATAAATGCCGAGTTCTCCCATTCAACTTCTAAACCATTCACTCTCTGGATATTGAATTGTTAATAATGCTGATTAATTTCGTTCATTAGAACCTCAGAGCTTCTCTCATTGAGTCAATCTATTTTTATTCACTCACTTGTACAATTTGTACTACTAAAACACTCAGGGGCAGGGGAGGGGGACTCGTCTAATCGATCCCCGTAATCGGTTTACCCATCACAGTGACTGTGAACGGCTTCCGGAAATCTGTTTTACAGAGCGAAGACCCTTGACGTATACGCCAGTCTACAAGACGCCACCCCAGCGACGTAGGAAAGAACGCGATATGGACGATGGAACGTCGCTCGAGAAAAAGCCCATTGTCGAATCGAGTATCGATATGCATTGCGATCAGGACGTGAGACTGATGGATGGATCATTATCGCCGACGATAAACTATCCGCAGAATCACGTTGCGCATCAGAATACTTACAGTCACGCGCCGACGATGGCCGATTTCAAACAGATGGCGATGGACGCCTATAATCAACGAAATCATCAGAACGTGAGTTGAAAAAAATATGAGTTAATGAGATAATATGTGAGATAATATAGGAACAGTTTGTGGAAGATGTGGAACTTCTATAGGGTGTTCATTGCGGAATCTATTTTGGGTTTGATTAGAGATTTTTATGGATGTGACTGGAGAGGAATAAATTATGCATTCGAATCAATAACGCTATATATTTCAGGATTTCCAAGTATTTTTTACAATTTGGTACAGGCCACTCTGTAGATTCAACCATTTTTCATCACCTAATTTGTCAATTAAATTGCGCGAGGAAATTGGATTTTTTTTAACGTGCGTTGTTTATAAATAAATAATTGCGATTGTTTAAACTTTCGGAAATCTTATTTTTTCGCGATATCCATTTCTGGTAAAATTTCGAATATGGATAAATCTGTTACGATTCCGGATGAATAATGTTGATGGTGGAAAATTGATTGTTTATAAATTATTTGTAGCAAATGCTCGTAATTTTCAATTATTGCAATTTTTTAATTATTTCATCAATCTTCCTCCAAAAGTAAAGTTTCTTATTTTTTTATTCGGGTTTTTGAAATGTTTTCTAATGGTTCAATATTGAAATTGAAATTCAGAGCTGCAAAGTTTAAATAATAAAATCATTCTAAAATGTACGGAAACTTAGGGTCAAACGGGGCTTAAATGAAATCTCTGATGTTCGACTAGAGAAAATAGCCAAAGTACTTGGATATCCTCAACATTTTGAAAAATTTATGACTGAAACTTCGAGTATATTTGCAGTATATAGTTGCATTGAAATTTCAAGGAATTTCATCATTAAAAATTCATACTTTGACGAAAAAATCTGTGGAAACTCTAAATTCCAATGGATTTTTCTTAGGGGCGGGTGGGGCAAAACGGCCCCCCTTCAATTGTCAATAACTTGTGAATGACATTGTGAAAATTCCCAGTTTCAACTTCATTTTGAAGATAATTTTTCATTCTTCAAAACGAGCTCTAACTCATCCCAATCGGATTATTGAATCGAAAAATATTGACGATTGAAGGGGGGCCGTTTTGCCCCATCCTCCCCTACTTAGAAAATGAAAATTATACCTTCAATAAATTTTAATTTTTTTCTTGCGAAACAATTACAAATGGAAAATAATAATAAAAAAATCAATGAACAAACGAACAGTTCAACTAAAAATATCCCGCAACTTGCCCTTCCAATTTCCTCCATCCCAATAACTTCCTACATCAGAACGTTGAAAACACCGAAACATCCCCTGCAAATGGGAACAGTACCCATCTCACTCAACTAACTGTAAAAAACTGGGAAACAAAAATATAGAGCACTCAATTTACCATTTTCAACAATGAAATTCACGTCACGATTCCGCAATATCCTGACTACTGTAATTTGCACGGAACCGAGTCGTACAATGGCGCG